CACCTTTATCTATATATAGTCTAGCATGAAAACATTTACACCTTTGTATGGGGATGTGTAGAGCCCATGTCTGGATTGATAAACAGTATGATTTCATTTAAAAGTGAGCACTTTTCTACCTTTATTTTCATATATTTCTACAAGAAAATATGACAGGCAGTAGCTATCTATGAAATACAAAGAGACAAAAATAGCAGAGCCAAGCTACTCTTTTAAATGTGTTTCAAGTGTTTAGATAAAAGGAAAGTGAACTAACCTAGAGAAGACATACAGACCCTTAGGGGAGCATTGCTTCAATAAACAAAAGCTCTGCAGTATTAATTACTGAGTGGAGATGCTAGGAAAGGTGAAGAGGGAGAAAGCAGGGTAGAGAGTGAAGAGTTACAGAGCAACTGACCATCATGTTCAACCTGGAGCTGCAAGGTGGTCTACTTGTGGTCCCCGCAAGTAGAAAATGGTGTACCACATTTCTTTTCTTTTCTTTTTTCTTTTCTTTCTTTCTTTCTCTCTCTCTCTCTCTCTCTCTCTCTCTCTCTCTCTCTCGCCATGACAGAGCTTTCTAGAGCCCTCATCCATGTATTGTTCAAGTGAGAGTTCCCCAACCCATTACCAAGGGATTTCAATGCCCTGCCCAAGGTTGCACAGCTGGTGGTGTGCGCACTGGGATGCCCTTGGCCCAGCAGACTAGGGGCCTTCCATTCCAGGGAGAAGCACAAGGACTTTCACAGTCACATCAGTAACAAGGTTAAGACAGAGGTAATGAATGGGTGGAATTCTCTGGAAAAGAATGAGGTTGAGCAGAGTCCCAGAAACAGCAAACGAGAGGGCTTTTTCAGGAGCCAGAATGAGCCTTTGTGATTGTAAATTATTCAGGCTAGATGTTTACAATGAACAATTTAGCTTCAGGCCAATATTAACTTCCCTTCCTATTACTATCAGATTAATTGCATTGTGTTGCTTTTTCTAAGTACACGTCAAATCAGGAAACCTATAATTCAGCAGTTAGTCATTAAAGTAGCAGTAGCTCTGCAACTGTGTTATCTGAAGCTCATCTTCAGAATAAAATAAAAATCTGGGGTTCCTTTTTTGTATAATAAACAGAACATTAATAACAAGTAAGTAGCATATTATTTCTAAGGTGAAAAATGTCCATGTTGAAAAATTATTCAGATAATAAAGCAAATCAGGGCCCAAATACACAAAAGATGATTGCAAGAACTTGGATTAATTTGCATTTTAAATAGTGCATGTATAAAACCAGAAAACACAGTTGTAAATTCTGCCATTTTAAGATGTTGCAAATCTTTGAGGTAATAGACATATTTACTTTGACTGGAATATTACACAATGTATACATATATTTAAATGATTCCCTATAAATATGTATAATTTTACGTAACAGTCAAAAAAACAAAAATTATAGAAAACATGATCCATATATATGTGTGTGTATATGTTTATATAATGTTAGTATGTGTATATACAAAGATACGTTAGACTTCAGTGGGAGCTCATATTATCTGATAAATTTTAAGTACTAAAGTCCTCGGGTAATTAAGATGTTAGTTAAGATCACTTCCCATGTCAAAATATCCAGGTTGAACACCCAGCTCCTGACTTCAAGTTCCTCAACCCTGGGACGCAACAGTGATGGTCCAAATCATTGGGCTTCTGTGACCCATGTGGGAGACTTTAGAAGGAGTCCCCAGCTCCCAGCTTCAGGATGACTCAGCCCAGTCCCAGCTATGGTGGACATCTGGACAGTAAATCAAGCAGTGCGAGTTTTCCCTGTGTATCTCTCTACTTCTCTAATAAGCAAGAATTTTCTAAATACTAAAAAATTTCAATTCCCAGATGCTTCCTACGTATTATAGGACTGCTTACAAATATGTATGCATGTTTATAGGTGTGTATATAGTCTTCATTCTTATCTAGGATCCAATGCCTTCACGGGCAGCCAATATCAAATACAGTTTCAGAGCTAATCAATAAAACACAGTTTGCATCAAATGACCAGAGAGCTGTCAATTTTTAAAAATCCCAGGCTCTCTTGTGGATTGCCGACTTCAAAGACAAGCATTAAGATTATTAAGCAAGTAATGATTGATTTATTACATAACGTTAGAAATGTTTTCTTTGAAGAACAAATTAAAAGGTCACAGATGCCCAGATTTTTCTTAGGTTGATAGTTAAAATGCAAAACAGATAATACCGCTGGATGTGAAGGACACAGGAAGGGGATGCACTGTGACTCCTTTCCAAGCAATATTTTAATGAAATGCTTAATATTCTGCAGTGGATTAATGAGGCAGTTCTCTATTTTCAAACAATGGGTGGACAATTAAGACCCAATCCTGTGAACAAATTGGTGTCACTGTTATTTTGATGGTATTTCAAATGGCCATTGCTGTAGCAACAAGACATTATTGAACAGGAATGAAATAACCATTTACATCAAGTAATTCAGTGGAGATATGTGCGGTGTGTGGCAGGTGGGGGTAGGGAGAATATGGCAGCTGCTGTTCCTAGAAATAAGGCTGATTATTTCAGGACAAAAGAAATTTGACCAGCTAAAGCCTAAACAGGTTTTGGGTCATGTTCAGAAGTCACCCAAAATGCACGCCAATCTGCTAATCACTCTCTTTAAAGCCAGCGAGCTGTGCAATCTCTCACCCTGGTGAAGAGATGGGTATAGGTCTTTCAGGAGACCAGATTTGTGAATGAATGGAATGAATTAGCCATAGGAGAGTAAGCATTATCAAGGGTAGGGAGATACCAAGATTAATTAGGAAGAATTGATTTATCAACCAAACACAAGTCTAGTCCAAGAATGCCCTAAATACCTATGTGTCCTAAATAATCAGGCACACTATTGCTCAGGAAGCTTGCATCAACAACTAGAAACAGAGCAACATATTATCTCATATTTTCCCAGTGCAGAGTTTGGAAATTAACGATGAAATCCTACAAGTGATCAATAAGAATAATAAAAACTCAAGGAACTTTTCCTACTCTTCCATTAAGTTGCAATTGTAGGACTACCTCAGTGTCTTCCCAAAGGAACATTCTTTTCAACCCCCGTGGCTTTGGTCTCTCCTTCCCAGGTTGTAAAGTTATTTTGCCTGCTGTTTGAAATAACTTTCATAAGTTAGTCCCCCTTACCTCCACCCCCAAATGTGGCCATATTGATGGGATAAAGTGATTGGTTTAAAGAATAATTCATTATACCATCAGTATCTTGGCATGCCAATTGCTAAAAAGACTATTTTGAGCTGTCAGTTCCAAAGCACATATTTTTTCATTGACTGACATGCCAAGTGCTTGATGGAATAATGAATTGTTCCCATTGACATCACTGTCCGTACAGAACTCTTGGGCTCCATGCAGCATTTTTCAGGGGTGATGAATAATGTTACTATTCTTTCTATGGAATGGAAAGCTAGGATAAGGTCAGATTCAGGGACTTACGGGGGGGGGGAAGAGGGGGCTCAAAGCTGTAGGGAATGAGTAAGTGTCAAACATATGTTAAAGGTGGAATACGTCTGTGATGCATGTCATAAAATCCCGTAATTAAAACTATACACGACTGCCACTAAATTGTACCATCTATGCTTTCTGCTTTCTTGCTGGGCAAAGTTTTGGTTTTCAGTGTTTTTCTAGTTTTGTTTTGATATGGAAACTATTTGCTGGCACTCCATCCAGCTCAGAAACCCAGTCCCTTGGAGTCAGAGACAGGAAGTACAAACCATAGGGTCTAGGACAAAACCATGGGGGCACTGTCTCTAAACGGGTCAGGGTGTCCTCTGCTTCCAGGATATTCTCACCCAGGCCAGGCTGCCTCTAGATCCTTCTAGCCAAGGAAATGCATTTTGAAAGCTTTAAGACCCACCCAACAAACCTGTTAGCCACTGCTGAGAGCATTAAAGACTAGCTCCAAAAGCTTAACATCAACAAAAGTCAAAAATCCACAGACAGAGACATTCATGCACTAGGCACTTACCAGGGTTTAAACAACAGCGTTTCTGGACTTCACTGCAGCACATCTCCAGTTTCCCCACTACAGGCACCTGCGTGGAAAGCACTGCAGTAGTAACACCTGCTTCCAAGTGCCCTTCTCCCCCCACAGGAAATAAAAATAAATAAATAAATAAACCTTTGTTTCCTCTGTCTTGGTAGTCAGTGCATTATATCATGTCATTTAAAAATATTTTTTTGAAGTTTGGTATTAAACCAGAATCTCTTCATGTCTCAGCCCAATCCTAATACCCTAGCAAGTGATGATTAGCATGACTATCCCGACTTAACAACACAGCCCTTTTGGACAATGACCATTAAGTCAAGCCCAGCAGGCTCAGCCTCTAAGCAAAGCTAGCTAGTCTACACTGCTGAACTGTGGGTTTACATAAGCACAGGTATTTGCACATACCCACCTACAATCTGCCACTCGGTCACAGACTTGATGAACAGAAGTGTGGCGGAGGTGGCTGCAGCGTGACTATCAGCGCCCCAGACTCCTCACCTGCAAGCTGATAATGCTGAGGCCAGCGGAGGGCAGGTAAGCAGCCGGATCCTTTCAGCAAGTGAGGTCCTCAAAGATGCTGCTTGAACTACCAGAAAGCCGAAATGCGAGGCCCAGAAGCCTGGAGTCCAGGTGGACGGCTTTGGCCTCTGGCCTCCCCTGCCTGCTCAGTGAAAGCAACCACCTGCCAGCCCATCAGGCCCTGGGGTTGCAGATCTCAGCAGCCACTGTTATCATGACATTCAATGGACAGTGTGTCTCTGGTGCCGAGCGACACATGACCTGGGCTTCCTATAGGCCTGCAACCACATCCCCTCATCTGCCTTCTCTTCTTCACTCTCCTTGCCACGCTTCTCCTTCCTTACTGAGTTCCCATCAGGTGCCAGACATTAATAGGAATTGCTTTACCTAGCTGCTGAAATCCTCGACAGGTACCTTCCCTACATAAATGCATTCCTTTTCTTTAAGGCACTTATCTGAGTGGATCCTTTAAACTCACAATTGTTCAATAATCTGATTAACATTCCACGTCTTCTAGTGATCCTACCATTGTGTCCCCAGCAAGGTTCCTGAAACATGACCAAATAAATCCTTATTAACAATCTGATAAGGTTGGTTCCTTAAATAGCTGCCATTTACAGACGAGAAAATACAGGCTCAATGAGCAAAGAAGGCTCACCTGAGGCATTTGGGCAGTAAGCAGAAGCACAGGGCATGTGAGACCACAGCCGGCCACCTATCATGACTTGGTAAAGCCCATCAGATTTCTCCTAAGACTTGGCATTGGCTGACATCATTACAGAAAAGACCTTCTGTGGAGCTCAAGAAGTCTCAGGGGTCAACACAGGTATTTTCCACATGCTAATTTCAGCTTTTAGGAGAAAGTCAAGAATAGACCTCAACAGACTAAGTCTCACACCTGCCACTGTGTCTCACCACTGGATACGACGCTGTGCTGTAAGAATCACCTTGTCAGGGCCCTTGGGAGGCTGCCTGGCTGCTGGGTGTTGTTTAGTTCTACCAGGAAAGGAGACTTGTACGTGACAGACCTCAAAGTGCTCACACTGTAATGGAAGAGAAGAGGGGCAGGTGTTGCAATGCAGCGCATTAAGCCTCCACTTTGGACACCAATGTTATCCTAGATTGCTGGTTCGAGTACAAGCTACTCCACTTCTGATCCAGCATCACTACTGCTGTGCCTGGGAAGGCAGCTAATGATGGCCCACTGCCACCTGTTTGGGAAACCTAGTGGTGTTCCCGAATCCTGGATCTGACGTGTTCCAAACCTGGTTGCTGTCAATTGGAGAGTAAACCAACGGATAAAATCTGTCTCTCTCTCTCCCTCTCTCTCTGGCTGTTTTTTTTTTCTAACACTGTCTTTCAAAGAGAAAGAAGAAGATATCTTTCCCAACTGTTGGGCCTTCTCACAGGTTTACAAGGAAAGTCCTAACAGAAGGGTACCTTTTTCTGGGTATCATTGTATATGTGTATATATATATATAACATAAGGCAAAGTTGTAGAGAAAGAGAGATCTTCTACCTACCAGGGATAGAACCTAAGAACTCCATCCGTGTCTCACACATGGATGGCAGGGGCTCAAGCACTTGGGCCATCTTCTACTGATTTTCAGGTACGTTAGCAGGGAGCTGGATGACAAGTGGAGTAGGTGGGACTCGAACTTGAGCTCATATGAGATATCTGTATCTCAGGCGTGGCTTAACCACTGCACTACAACATCAGTCCCTGGATGTGACTTTCATTCCCTTGTCCTTCAGACTTACTGTTTGTGCCAAGTTAACATCCACCATAAAACTCTTCCCCCTGCTATTTGAACTGCAGAAACAGGACAATCTAAGGATGTGTCATCTGGGAAAAAAAGATACACATGATGGAATTACACAGGGACTTGTTTGCATAGAGGTGTCTGAGAGGCCAACCAACTTCCATCTCAGAATGTGGCTAGGGTCCTCGGAGGTGCTCCATCATCCCACCGCCCGTGTGATGGCACAGAGAAGCACAGCCAGCAGCAACCATACAAACTCGGGGAGGAAATTCCACAGTTCCCTCTCCCCAGCGTGAACCACAAACACTTCTAAAAACATCTCATGTAAATTCTCTACCTGGATGCTGATGAATATCAAACGGTGCTTTTGAAACATGTGACACAAAGACATTTTCCTAGAGGATTTACATTTTTCTTTGAATGTAAAATTGCTCTTCCCATGAATCAGGGCTGTTTTCTGTCTGTCATGGGTCTACAGGGCTCCAGCACAATGTGTGCTTATTTCTTTAGTTACTGTATCTTCCTCTGCATTCTGCCTTCTTTTTAGCTAGCTTTCAAATGTTAATCCTGGCCTTTGCCTGCCTGGACTTGGGTCTGTTCAATAAGTCCCGTGTACTTGTCTCATTTCACTCTGTCACCTCTTTTATTTACATTTCGGTTCACCTGCTCTTCAGGTTTCCCTCCGAGACCTGCCACCCTCACCTCTAACTGAATCTCCTACTTGCTGATCCCTCATCCAATTGCTTCATATCAAATTGGCCTGATTTCCTTGGCACCTTTATTTAAACCTGTGCCCGGCTTAGATTTCCACCTAAGACAGTAGGCACATCAGCTGAATCGTGTCTCTGCAATTTATTTTCCAGATTTATCTGGAAACCACAATTACATTTTACCTATGCCTGTCCTGCTGATGGAATGACCTTAACTGGAGAGGCAACAAGGGATGGATATAGTTGGATGACAATTCAACTTGAAATAAGATGACCTAGGACCAAGTCCCTCAACGTCAGTGAGCCTCCACATCTGTGCCCTGGCCAGGGAGGGAGGGAGGGGGGGCAGCAACGCCTGCAGTCTTGGCATTATGTATTAGTGAGGTGCTTGCAGATGGTAAGAGGCAACCCAATGAATAACCTGAATGTATAAGCAGCCTCCCAGATAACTGTGATAACATGCAGATAACTGCAATAACACGCAGGTTATTTAACTGAATCCCACACAAGAAAAATCCCAGTAGCTCAGATCTGGTGCTGTGTATTGGACACTATGGCATTCTCTTTGTATCACACATGTAGATATCCCCAGCAGAAAGGGGTCTGGATGGGTCATTTATTTATCTTTTTATCTTGCAGTCTCCTGATTTGATGGACTCAGGTCTTAACACTTGATCAAATCATTTATAAACAGGTAGCACAACTGATTGAACCCAACAGGTAAGGTACAAAGACCAGAAAAACCAAAAGAGCCTGCCTGGTTACCCAGGACGAAGCTGTGGCATGGCAAATGCTTCCTGCCTTCCTGGAGGCAGATTCTTACAGCATCAGCATCAGTGTTTATGCCTCTTGAGATAAAGATTCCATGGTGAAGTGAATTTGAAATACAGCCCACACTCACCAGGGCCCCTCAACAGTGCCTTGAAGGCAGCTGCGAGGTCCCATCAGGCCCCCACTCTCCTGCCCTCTCTCCCTTGGCTGAAAAAAAAAGTGCCCTTACCTTGCCTTTTGACTGCTCTAAAATGAACTCGCTGGATTGAGGCAGGGGTTCAGCTTAACCTTACAAGATTCCAGTCATGAACTCATGAAGTCACTTGCTTCTCCAGTAGACAATACTTAATGGCCAGAATTGAGAGATTTTGTTTAAGGGAATTCCCAATTCAGAACAGAAAGTAAGAACCGCCTACATGTATTCCTCAGTCTTGGCCGTCATAAAAGTTATTTCTTGCTGACCTATCGAGGGAAGTCCACCAGTACCACCTACCAACCAGGAATGTGCATAGGAGCTCAACAGGCATCTCTTAGCACCAACTTCAGTCTGTAAGAACCTTCACCTGTAACCCTTCAGGAAACCAGAGAAGTGACTTGCTCTTTGTTTTGCCAATAAATACTTACTTTCATCTGCCACCATGACATCAGTGACTGGCTTTCTGCACACTGGAGAGTGGACCCAGTTTTAAGCATTCGCCAGTATCTCCTCCAGCTAGTTCTGTCTCCAGTGAAGTTCAGTTGCTACTGCATAGCTTCCCAGCACTGTCTGTGTATGAATGTGTGTTGTGAATCTCTAAGCAGGAAGATGTAACATGTGTTGCAGAATTTTCCAAGAAACCTGCCTTTTTATAGAGCGTTTTATTGACACCTAGTGGAAGGTACTTGGACAAACGCTTGCTTAGCCCTCACCAACTGTCACCTGGCATCAGTGACCAGCAATTCCTAATCCTTGTGCATCAGAATCAACCAGGACATTTAATAAAACACAGTCAGCTGCACCACACCTCACACCAAAGTCTGATTCACCTGATCTGAGAGAGGTTCAGAGATCAGGATTTAAATGTTCCCCAGGAACTTGACCTTTAAGTAACACTAGTTCTGTATATCACAGGATATGCCATTGTGATTTTATCTTCTTAGTCTTAAATCAACCCTATCAAATACGTATTATCACCTGATTTATGAGTCATAAAAGTGAAGCTATGCGATATGAAGCCACTGACCCCCGATCCCCAGCTTAGGAGTTGCAAGGCTCAGAATGCTCTGACATCCCCACCCATGATGTCTTGGATGGGTAGCAGTCAACACACTGAAGGAACTCCAAGGTTCCTTTCAGCATAAGGTATCCCCAACCTCTGGCTGAGGCTGTGAATAGGCAAAGCTACAAAACACTCTGGGAACTGAACTAGGTCACAGGGATGTATACTCTCTGTGGTAACACTTGCGTATCTAGGCAACACTACATCCTGTAATTCACGCTCTGCAATTCCTAGGCTTTGAGCCTTCAAGGATTCCTCTGCTTACACTTTGCTTCCACTCAAAGCAAATGGTAATAGCCATTATATATATGATCATGTACAAGGCTAAAATAGGAAACTAACTCCCAAAAGGAACTGAAGAGCTCATGTTCCTGCCTCAGACCCTACCTAGAAGTCAAATTCTCTCCTCATCACTAAGCAGAAAGTCAGTGTGAACTCATACTCTTGAACAGCTTGTTTCCAGCAGCCATCTTCATGGGGCAAGCCCCTCTCCATAACACAGCCAAGTATTCGGATATTGGCTGCAGCTAGGGAATTAAACCCTTAAATCATAAAACTGTCCATACCAATTTTCCCTCATTGCCTCAACTCAGGAATGAAAAACTCCATCACTTAAAAAAGCAAGGCCTTCTGGCATTCAGGTGCCTGGAACTGACAGATTCTTAACTCCGTTCAGGTCTCACAGTGGACATATGGAAGGGCTTGACTGCCACCTTGTGGTCAGCTGCAAATGGTCAACCAAGCCCAGCGCTGGCACAGCCAGAAAGGAGCCAGCCATGAGCAAGTGCCCTCACTAACCTGTTTTGCTTTGTTTTCGGCTTTGGCCAAGAATGGCTCTAGCATCTTTCAATGCACCCCAGGAAACTAACAGAAAGGAAATGTACTCACATGTCTGGCAACAGTTCCTTGGTTAGGGGGAGGCTAGACTGTGCAGTAAATACAACTAAGCTGATTTAAGTGCTTCTATGTCCCTAGTTCAGAAAGTATTTCCCAGTTTCTCTTTGCTGATTACGAATCAAAGAATAGTCGGTCACTGTAAGACAGGGCCAGTTTCAGGCCTTTCTCCCTCCCTTCCTCCTCTTCTTCATGTCCAGTGAACAATGCTGTGACTTTCAGCAAGTTCCAGAAACTTCTCTACTGTTTAAATATCAGCAATGATGAGTTCTCCCATCTTTAATGCACTGTGGAGGAAAGAAAATCATCCAGCAACAAGCAGCAGAGAGACCTTGCCAGGCTGCAGGGCCTAAAACAAGTTCAGTTGCTGACCCTTCCTCAACGTTGCACACTGGGAAGGGCCACCTAGTCTCTGCAGAAAGTCCCTCAAAACGGAAAAATCAAGTCAACCGCAGCTCAAACGTCCAGGTGATGGGAAGAAGGAAGCGTGCGCCACACTGAAGAACACTCTGGTCCCGCGATGGGTGCTGCCCACTCCCTTGGGTTCCCAGATTAGGCAGATCGCAGCTGCAGACGGATCGTAGCCAAGCTCTGAGCCAGCATGGCATGCAGCCCAAGGGACTTGCCCGACATCACACACCTCCCTGGGTGGCCTCCATTCAATGACTGACAAGGACAGCTCTTGCCTCATGTGGGGGGTCTCCCTGAAGACCATCCCAGCTGTATCACCCCCGAGAGACTCCACGTGCTGCTGCACCGCTGCTCAGCTTCTTGCAACTGAGTGGATCTGAACAAAGGACATAAGTTTGGACAGGGTAACTTTGTTCACATCCATTCAGTAGCTCTCATCTCATCAGAATCCAAGGACAAGAGCATCCAGCCCGACTATCATGTCCAACTCCCCTCCTTGTCTTCTACATCTTGATCACAACAGCTGCACTGACTTTCTAGCTGCTTCCCCCACACACCAAGCAGGTTCCCTGCCTCAGGACCTTTGCACCTGCTGCCATCATCCAGGAAAGTTCTTTGTCCACTTACCATCATATATTCCCCATCCCACCTCCTTCCAGTCTCGACTCTTCTTTGGTGAGGACCTCCCTGACTGCTACTTAACTGTGCAGGGACATACCTCACCCCGCCTCCTGCTTTGGTTTTCTCTCTAGCATGTGCGGAAGACCTGGCACACCACATAGTGAACTTACTTAGGTGCTTCATGTCTGTCTCCTCCGCCAGAAAGTAAACTTCATGAAGGAAATGCTTTTTGTCTATTCTGTTCTTTAGTACATTCCCAGAAGTTAAATGTTCACTGGTACACGGTCATGGCTCAATCAACAGATACATGAATGAGCAAGTGAATGAATGAATGACAACATTAAGCAGCACTTGATTTGAACTATAATTCTTATACAATTAATAAGGATTCTGCAAGGTAATATTTGTGAAAGGTAAGACGCTGCTAATGAAATAGAAGGAATTTTTTTTTTGCTTAAATGCAATTCTTCATCTGAGAGCCGTTTAATTCTTATAATCTAACAGCTACTGCACTGCTACAAAAATGCAAATGCATATCATTTGTACACAGAAAACCTTAAGGTTTTGATATTCAAATAAAACATAAGATGTATTCAAAAGTTAAACCCAAAATGTACAATGCAATGCATTTCCCTTTAAAAACTTAAAAAGCAGTTTTTACATTTAAAATTTTCTACCAATTCAAAGATCTTTTGCTTCACAAAAAGTTCTGACCAAAGTTTAATTCCAAATGACTTCGCTTTTAGAAAACATAATCTTCAAATGCAAAATATTCAAATATAACCTTTTTCTTATGAAACTATTCTCAATTTCTAAAATTATCACGTGCTCCTTCTCAACATGAGATGAGTAGATAAAGGTTGAAACTGATTTTTTTTTTCAAATAACTTTTCCCAGATATTTATACATTACTGACTCAAACATAACAGTGTCATTACAACTCCTTTGCTGGGAAGTATTTTCTCAGTGGTTATTCAAACAACAATGCCAATACTTGTTATTTAAAAATTCATAATGAGAGTACTTCAAAAAGGTTAATGGAAAATAGAAATAAAAATCTATTTTTAAACGTTTTGAAATCCATGCAAACCAAGGATCTTCAAAAGTTCATGAAAGATGCATGTTGTGAAAAAAATTAAGCATGGATTTAAAATTTTTTATGCCAAAAACCCTTACCTTTTAATTCTATTTTCCAGAGGTTTTTCATGGTGACATCATGATACAATTCTTGCACAATTTGAAGATCCAAATCAAAGTTATTGCTATCGTGATTCACTCTTTTCTTTACAGATAATTTAATAAATATTCCTGAATTCTAGAAATCTGTTCACAATCCTTTAAAAAGCAGGGCTCAGCAAGCAACTCTCAAGGTCAGATAGAAATATGTTGTTTTGCAGGTCTCGAGTTGTATATTCCTTTTTTTAAAAGAAATCCACTCTATAAGTGGAAGGGGAGAAAGCTCCTTTTGTGCTAATCTAACTTGCTAACCTCCTCTCTACTTTAAAAAATAGAAGCATCTTATCTCTAAATTAACCTGCTCAAGTCTTAATATAATATAAACCTCACGTTTTGCAGTAAAATCATCCCGGACTCATCCTTTTCAAAGAACGACAGGACAACAATCCGGACATCTTTTCTCATCACTGGCGCTTTTTTGTGGCTTTTCATTTGGATTGGATAATCCACCTTTCCTTTTTTTGGGGGGGAGGAGTCTAATTTTTCTTTAATAACGGAAAATTCTCCGCATGTGACAAATCTGAAGTTTGTAGAAATAAAAAGGCTGACATACTTACACATGCTTCGAGGTAGGTGCACACACACAGTTCTGCGCTGTCGCAAACACTGGCACAGTGGAGACCACTATTCATTTAGAAATTCAGCATGAATGCTCTCCACGGTTGAGGGAATCCGGAGGAACCAGCTACAAGGAACACACAACAATCCTACAGAAATCTGAACTTCTATATATCAATTGTCATATTCTGGAGAAACATGATTTGAATATGAAATATGTGGGTGATCAATGACTTTAGGAATGTGATAGATTCAAGTTTTTGAAGCAAATATCCTGGAGCTAACACTCATGTGTTACATAGCCCTTTATGGCGCAGTGCCGGGAGCCCCAGCTGTGTGTGTGTGTGTGTGTGTGTGTGTGTGTGTGTGTGTGTGTGTGTTTGTGTGTGTGATCCATGTCTGCTTCTTCTACCACAAATAGTGTTTTGAACATATTACAGTAACTAAAAACAGCAGTAGTGAACTTACCTAAATAAAACAGAAACAAGTTGGAAACACTTCAGAGTTATGATCACCCAGCATTTTGACAAAAACATTTACAACTTCTAAAGCTAAGAAACTTGAAAACTTTGGCATCCCTAAGAAGAAAGTTCAATCCCATCAGTGAGCCTGCCCCTACATTT